AATCGATTCGTCTCAATCATGGGAGTGCTACTAAAGATATGATAGTAATCAAAATTCAATATGAAATGGCATGAAGCAAGCGCGCCGAGCGGGTGCCCGCTCTGTGTCCCGCTTAACGCAGCGCACGCTCTTAGTTTTTTTTTTCTGTGAATGTTATAATTACGTTATATTATATAATAGTTTAAAAGTGTATATAATAATTACCTTAGGACTCATTTGAGTATGATTGCGTGTGTGTGTGTATCTCTCTCTGTATGTGTGCATGAGTTTGCTTGAATGTGTTGAGTGAACCCTGTATTCTATTAATAACGCATACTTTTGATAACCAAAGCACTACGCGTTCGCTTCGAATTGGCTGCTTCCACCATCCCAGCTTCAGAATACCGCGCCTTAGACAGTCCCTATTAGTCGACCTTATTGGACGATGGTACCAGTTGATGTGCCTGTGATTGGCCATCGACGGCCAACTTGAAGCAAACGAGTAGTCTTTAACGCCACTAATGTGATTCAACTTTTCTTTACTTTGTTTTTGACCTCCCTATTTTCTTGTATACCTACTTTTATCTTTACTATTCTTCTATGCTTCCTCTTTCAGACTTCTGCCCGTGCCCCTGGCTGTATCAAATAGCAGCCTCGAGCACGGACAGTATATTATTAAACATGTTGAAATTTGATTAAAAATAACATAATTAAAAAGACATACTGTAAATAATCGAATAAAAAAAATTATGAAAAAAAAAATATGGGCAAAATTAGGCGCCATATTGTGACGAAGTAAAAAAAATAAGTTGATAAAATATGTCGAGTGGGATATCACTGTCTAGATAATCAAAAATCATATTTAGGTTCCTAACACCATTTTTCATTTTATATGATTGTTCAGGATCTACAACGCTTTAAAGTTGTATATTAACCACTTACGCTTTTAATTTCAATCTTACGTTTGTATGGATCTTTGTTACTCTTTCACCTAAAAAATACTGAATGGATTTTAATGAAACTTAAGAGTAATATAGCTCATATATGATAATTACATATATATAATAATTTATGTAGTTATTGAGTGAATTGGCCAATATATAGCAATAAGTGTCACATAAGACGGAAAAAAATGTCCCATCTGCGAGTCATTTTGGCCTGCACTGCAAAAACAATAAAAGTTACATGAATGTAACGTAGAGTGAAAATGTATCTCTTAAATAGTTCTAAAAAAAAATCCGTGACACCATATATCTATTTTTAATGTGTAAGTCATTACCGCTAAAATAGTGAATCAAAACTAAAATATTATATGATATCTATTTCCAAAATTCACATTTTGTATTAACAAATAATTTTTTATCAAAACAAATACTTTAATCGCTTTTGATATTTAAAGACGATAAACTTTGCTTTTTACACTATGTCATTTCGACAAATATTTAAAAAGTTACAACGATGACAAAGTGATAGCGCGGTGTACTATGTAAAAGAAAAAAAAATGGGGTATTCGCAGTATCTGATCCTATACGAAGTACTAACATTAAAACTGTGATACAGTTCCTTCTTATTAAATGATGAAAAATATATCATCATAACAGGTATTTATGATTATTGAATTTTAATGAAAAACTCAGAATTTTACTGTTTTTCATTTTTTTTAACGATATTACTTAATGTTACAAAAAGTAACAGTTTACTTAATATAATGACAAATAACCCATTTTTCGCTAGTAAGTACATACTTATTGGAATCCCTGTATTTATTAATCAGCTCGCGATAATATTGGTTTTGTAATAATTCTGCCAAATTCAAAGTAAATAATGTAGATTTTTATTGGTAAATCACCCCTTTCATCACCCTACGCCTATAAGTATTGCGATGTTGTAGCTAAGAACCAAGTTCCCATCTACTTCTATATGGGAATTCATTATATTCGATTTAGCTATTAGGGCACGGAAGCGCAACAAACAAACTCACTTTCGCATCTATAATATTATATTATACTTACTAGTGATCCACCCGGGCATTGTACGGGCGAAATTTATTTATCGGGATAAAATTTAACCTATGTCACTCGGACAAAATGTATTTAAATAAAGAAAAATGTTATAATAAATAATGTAGCTACCTTATGATGAATTAATATTTGAAACCGGTTCAGTAGTTTGACAGATTCTTTGTTACAAACAAACAAATCTTGCCTCTTTATAATATTAGTATAGATAGTTAGGATAAGATAAGTATTTCATTGATGAAAAAGATTTAAAAATAAAGTAAGTAATAGGTTTATTTGATTATATTTGTAAAAGTTACTTAGCATTTGTGCTTAACAGTGATACGTTATTCGGTATTTTTATAACAAAAAAAAATTTGGAAAATAATTGCCATGATTGCACTACTGGGAGTACTCTTCATTCGAGATTTACACTACCAATAAAAAAGGGTCGATCACAAAGTCTTTGACCTGTTAAATGTGAACGCTTTAAAAGAAAACTACAAAGAGAACTATAAATTGATAATAAATGAGATTGCTATGGTGCTCTACCTAACGTTATGAAAATTTTATTATGCGCCTTTAGTTTAATCAAATATTATAAACTTTGCTTTGGTGATTGCATAATTATTTAATTTAGTGATCTAAGGCAGTTGCCACCATTGTCCAAAATAACAGACGGGAATTACTTCTTTCTTCAACCTGCGACATAAACGTCATTGGTTGGTATTGTATATAGGTTGATTAAAAACATTTGAAGTTAACTTCTGGCATCTACATATTGGGTTTCTGTGAATTATGTAGGTATATCAAATTATGAGACTAGGGACTGACACTGAATTTATGTATATCACAATCTTAGACGTCCGGCATTGACATGACAATGCAGCCACTGCCAATTTTAAATAGTCGACGAATAAAAGTAAATGAATTTTATATTTACTGCTAAACTATTAAAAAAACATAAACAAAAGATGACTTTTTGAGTAAGTGCTAGTTTACTATAAAATTTACATACATAAGAGATATATTTATGTAACGACTTGATTTAACTTCACACATTTTTGCGAAAATTGAGGCCCATCTGTAGCCTTGACCCCGCTGGTAAAGTCTTTATATGTCTTAATAAATCAATCTTTTAGACCGACGCAAGGTACTTAATAATTCCCGCGATATTAATTCCCTTACTGAAGTAACAAGACTACGGTATAAACCGTCTTAAAATACTAACTAAAAAGTGTGAAATAAAAAAGGTAAATTTAAAAAATCAAAAAACCCGACTGCTTAATTATTCTTCAAATAAAAAATGAAAAGAAAAAAAACAAGTCCAGTAGTCTATAATTCTGTTAATAAGGAACAAAGCTACTTTAACAGTCGGTACTATAAGGTAGTATAGTTGTTGTTGTTACGAACTCAAGACAAGAAAACAAATGAGCGATTGTGCTATATAATTTTTATTTATCTATGTAGGGTCCATGAAAATAGAAATCAGGCACCTTATTCCATAATGAGCGCTAATAAGAACATTATTTCAACCGTACTTTCTCCTCCTGTTCCTATGCTCAGAACGATGTACATTATTTAGCTAAAGCTTTTCAAGATTAGCTTAGTATTCCACTCCATCTTGAAAAAGAAGGAAGTTTTCAATTCGTCAATTTATTTTTGTTTTTTTTTTATCGTTATTGTTGGTAGCACATATATCTGAGTATTGTGTACTGATTTAAATGATTCTCTATTTGAATCAGGTTTTTGGCGAGATAGCCCTATATATTATATCGCCTCAATTCAACAGTACCCTTAGTACGAGTTTTACAATTACGAAAACTATGATAGTTTTCGTGAGCTCGCACTCGTTGATTTTATGGTTTTATATTTATTAATAAACAGTATTTAGATTCTATCATTTAATCATTTGCGTATTCTTAAATTAAGTATATGTGGTTACTTTTCACCAAAATGGACATAGAAACATAATTTACAATTATGAAAACTATGATAGTTTTCGTGAGCTCAAACTCGTACTAAGGCTACAGTACAGCTATCGTGTTTGGTTATTTTACGAAATATAAAAGAGAGAATGCATGCCAAGCACCTGTACTTAGTTAATGTTGATCTGACTTGCAAAGGTGTAAAGAAAAAATGTTTTTAACAATAAGATATATTTGTTGTAGGGTTAATGTTAACCCAAGTATTAAATGAGAACTCAGATATATTAGACATGCGTGACTCTGCCACCAAAATATTAGTTATACTTTTTAGGATTCCGTACACAAAGGGTAAAAACGGGGCGTCTGTCTGTCTCATGAACCATGTTAGCTAGACAGTTGAAATTTTAACAGATGATGAATTTCTGTTGCCGCTATAACAACAAATACTAAACACATAATTAAATAAATATTTAAAGGAGAGCCCCCCCTTTAATATTAACTTTAATATAAACAACAACAAAAGTGTTTTTGCTCTATATTAATAACAGCAACAGGTATACACTAGAAATATTCACAAAATATTTATTTGTATAATTACTTTAAAAATTAATAATTTAATCAAAAAAAAAAATTAAGGGGGCTCCCATACAACAGACGTGAATTTTTGCCCTTTTTGGTACGGAACCCTTCCTGCACGAATACGACTCGCACTTGACTGGTTTTAATATACTTAAAATGAAAGTAAAGGGTTTTTGTTTTTATGAATTCGGTTTTCACTTTTGTTAAAAAAATATACCGTACTTAGAGGTAGGCTAAACAATGTTGTACGATTACTAAAATAATTTTGTTTAAGATATTGCATTTTTTTTTATACCTACTTGATTTAAGTATTTATGTAACATATTAATTTAATTGCAAAAGTGGGCTTATTTATAGCGTACTAAGCGTGTTTTATCAATTATGGGCAATGAGGGAAGCCTGAGAAACACCGTTAAAAATAATTTACATAATTGGTTAAACTACTTAATTGAATAGAGTGTTCGATGTGTTTTTATAACTAGCATTATGTGGTTAACGAAATAATAAGGCGATATAGCTACTCACTGTACGTGTCTGGGGGATAGCCGGAGTGGTGGGGTGGTGGTGCGCGGCGCGCGCTCACCTCCAGGGTTTCGTTGAGGAGCGGCAGCTCGGGGGACTTCCAGACGCACACGTAGTACACGGACAGCAGGATGGCGGCCAGTGACACCGACAGCAGGTACGCCAGCACCGTCAGCACTCGCACCACCGTGCTCACCGCCTTCTGGTCGTACAAGTCTCGCTCCGGCACACCCATCTCCTCCGCCGCGCACTCCTCCGTCATCTGCCCGCTCTCGCTCACCGACATCGCGCCAGCTCACTGCATGCACCTACATGTTTATATTTACTGCGCGAATAGATCACTTATTGCCAAGAAGTAAAATAAACGTCTGGGCCAGTTCTGGATTGGGTATGTATGAGTGGAGTGCGGCGCGCGTGGTATTCGCGGCCGGCGGTGAGTCGAGTGCGGTGTTCGCCCGCGGGCCCGTCCGCCGTCCGCCCGCCGCGAGTCCCGCACTAAGCCGATCAACGGCACACGTCACGGATTTACGAATGTTAAATTTTATGCCACACCGAAGATGCTCACTACTATGCTATTCCATTAAATTTAAATGTTACATCTATGACGACCGCACTAAAATAAATCTGTTAACGAGGCAGTAATTCTTGTTTTGGTTATCCATTTATTTATATTAATTTCAACGTTCGAAGGATGTCGTAAAAGTATGCTATCTTAGTGCGGTTCTCACTAACAAAGTTTATTTATGCGAAGAGGAAGTATGAAACACCTTTATTACTTCGGTGGTGTTGTTGATCGAAGCTTTTAGAAATAGCTTCATAGCACTAAATGCCAAACCACTTTAATTCTATTTTATTTTATTCGGAAAACGTACAGCGTTTTTTAACAGCAATTATAACTAAATGTAAAACTAGACACCATTAACACGTTTTCGCATATGACCATCAATACAAAGCTCATCGTTGAAACTATACAAGCAGTGCCAAAGTGAAAAGTAATAAGACTAGAGATAATTAAAATATAGGAGCAAGCGACGCTTAAGATAAGCAGTTTGAGAATAAGCAAACCAAGAACTTACTAAGGTATTTTTAAGTATGTGTGGTTTAGTTAGAAATAAGTCAAGTTGGTCCCCCAACTAACTAAACAAAAGTTACTAGTTTGTGAATTTCTTTTGCGGACTTTACGAAAAAAGAGTTTTGTCTGTAATTAGTACCACGTTGGGTAACATAAACACAACATAACACACTAAATGTACAAATCGCCTTACGGTTTTGTTAGGGATTTTTATACTTATTTTTGACAGTGAATCCGGCGAGTCAATGAGACTGAGCGATTTTTGCCATAGTACTACATCCGCTATTTTCGCCGCTCACTCAGGGGCAGGATGTGATGCCTACGACACCTTTCCTCGTAGTTAGAGTCATAAGTCCTACTCTTGTACAGTAAATATCTTAAGAATCTTCGCTGAACTGATTCAAGTCTGCCAATGTGACCGCTATAACTGGGTTTCCAAACTTGAGAACCGTACTCGAGGATACTTCACACCAAAGAACAATATAGAATTTTCAGCATTTTAATGTTATTGAATTATGAACAAATCTAATCTCTAATCACAAAGCCCAAGGATTTTCCAGCCTTTTTAGTTATATGGTCTATATGTTTCTCATATGTTAATTTAGAGTCATGTAAAATATCCATATCTCGAATCTCATCAACTTCCGCCAGTTATATGTGCTATTTGGTTGATTTTTGAAGTGAAAGCTCCTTTAGCGGCGTAGTACACTTTTTTTGTAATGGGTAAAAAATAATTAACTCGCGTCAGGACACATGGCCTGATCGCGTCAGGACACGTGGCCTAATCAAAAATTCATAAGACGAAACAATAAAATTGGAAAGGTTGTTGACTTTCAATATATTGGACGAAACATAGTAATGTTTTATTTAATCGTATAATAATAATAAGTCTCTAATTAGGACGTCCAGGTGGCAGCTTAATGCGAAGAAAATGCATTTTTTTTAACAATATTAGTCGCTAGGTGCGCTTAAATGTGATTCATGCAAGTTGATTTTACTGAGAGATAAACTTTTTAATGTAATATGTATAAAACATCATGTTTGTGTACGATAGCGCAATAAATAAATATTGTATTCTACCACATAAATGATAGTACTTTTATACTGATAATTACAGCAATTCGTGCAAAATTATTTATTTATTTATTTATTTATTTATTTATACTTTATTGTACACCAACAAACAATAAAATCACATAAACAGAAATATACTAAAATTGGTACAATGGGCGGCCTTATCGCTGTGTGCGATCTCTTCCAGGCAACCTTAGGATGGACAGAATCAGCATGGAACAAGTAACTTAGAGGGAAGTTGGCACAACATGAGATACATATATACAACAAACACAAAATAAACATACACACATATAACATAATATATAAACCTACATACAATTTACATACATATACTACATAAACAATAGTACACATACTACATACGCAATGTTATAAATACAATTTGGAAAACATGAATGGTAAACAATAGCAAATTAATAATAATAGAAGAATCTATACTACAACAGACAGTGACAGATAGTGATCTTTTACTAGACTCTTGAAAATGTTCAGAGATTTAGCACATCTTATCTCGACCGGCAATGCATTCCACAAACTAACAGCATGCACTGTAAACGACTTGTTATAGAATTTTGTATAATGCATTGGAGTCTCCAACCTCAAATTACTAGATGATCGCAAATCTCGTGAATGAGCGTCCTGAAGGAATGTAAAACGTTGTTTGAGATAGGACGGGGTATTGGGATTAGAGAGAATATTATATAGGAGGGAGACAATATGTGCATTCCGGCGAAGGCGAATAGGTAACCACTTGAGCTTAGTGCGAAAATCAGATACATGGTCATATTTGCGAAGACCAAATATAAACCTTATACAGAAGTTTTGAAGCCGCTCAAGCTTATTTAGTTGGTCTTCATTGACATCGAGGTAGCAGACATCAGCATAGTCTAAAATAGGGAGAAGAAGTGATTCAGCAAGCGCAATTTTGGTGGCAGTCGGAAGAAAATTACGAAGACGTCTAAGTGATCCTGCAGATGCAAACAACTTACGGCTAACCTCTTGAAGCTGTGGACCCCAACATAAAGTACTATCAATATGTAAGCCTAGATCCTTAACACACTTGCTAATAGTGACATTGACGCCATCAAAGTTTATTTTTGGTAATCGAGACCAGTCAATTCTTGAAATCATTTTAGGGCTGCCAATAACAATAACTTGAGTTTTCGATGGATTTAGTTTTAGGCCGAACATCTTACTCCATTCACAAATATGTGAGAGATCCAAATTAATGATATTCACTGCCTCAGACAACTCGTTTAATGGAGCCTGGCAATAAATTTGTAAGTCATCTGCAAAAAGGTGGTAGGATGAAGTTAGAATATTAGAAATAGAATTTATAAACAAAGTGAAAAGTAAAGGAGATAAGACGCCACCCTGTGGAACACCAGCAGCTGTTCTGCACCAAGAAGAAACGGAATCTTCAATGCAAATCCGCTGGCGGCGCCCATACAGGTAACTATGAAACAAATCAATCACCGTTGGAGATATGTTAAGAGATTTTAAAATAGCGAGCAATACATCAAAGTCAACAGTATTAAAAGCGTTGCTAAAGTCGAGCAAGGCTAGCACAGTCAGCTTTCCGCTATCCATGCCTAGTCTCACGTCGTCAGTGATTTTGATGAGTGCGGTAGTCGTGCTATGACCAGGGCGGAAACCGGATTGAAGAGGATTTAGGAGATGATTTTTGCAAAGGAAGGAGCTTAATTTATTGTGGACAAGGCGCTCAAGGACTTTGGAAAAAAACGGCAATATGGATATGGGTCGGTATTCGGAAAAGGAGGTAGGATTCGGCTTTTTTGGTATGGGAATTATATGAGCGTCTTTCCATGCCTTAGGAAAAATACCATCTGAGACTGAACAGTTTAGGAGGTGGGAGATAATGGGAAGAATTTCATCAAGGACTGGAATAACCATTTTTCGACTTATAGCATCGCACCCTACAGCATTAGATGTAATTGACAATATACTCTTCTTAACATCACAATCGGTAAATCGATCAATGATAAAGGGTGAATGGTTGGGTGTTGGAAGAGAATTTAAATAGTTGAGCGTAGTAGCTTTAATTGTCTGATCAAAATTGGACGAAGATGAGAAGTGTGCATTTAAAGCGTTAATGTCTAAATTAGTAGAAGTAGGAGATTGGCGTGACTTACCAATACCCATGGACCTAAGAAACTTCCATACCCTTGATGGGTCCCCGTTTTCTACAGAATTGTGAACATAGTGGCGTTGAGCATTTCTACACACCTTGTTGCAGTGATTCCGGATCGTGACGTATCTCTCCCTGTTCAAAATGGTGGATCGACGCTTGTATTTTGACTTCGCAAGGTCTTTCTGGCCTATAAGATTTTTAATTTCATCGGTTAGCCAAGGCGATGGAAGATGCTTCAATTTAACAGAACGGATTGGAGCATGTATATCATATAACTTTATGATTTCAATCATGAAAATGTCAAGCTTTTCGTCAATCGATTCGGTGGCTAACAGCGGAGTCCAGTCAATGTTACAAGCGTCACTACGAAGCCTTTCAACATTCATACCACCAAAGTTACGCTGCTGGATGATTTTGGGCTTTTCCTTGGGTGGGCGGATTTTAAAAGACAGGAATATGGCATCATGATAGGAGAAGCCATCGGCAGGGCATTGACCATGTCTGGCGATAAGGTCCAAAGAAGAGACAAACATGAGATCAAGGAGGGAAGGGGAACAGTTTGGGAAATGGTGCGTGGCATTGAGTGAAGGTAGGAATAGGTTTGTAGAATTCATGACAGAAAGGAGAGAAGAGGATCGAGAGTCATTTTTAAGGAGGCAGGTGTTAAAATCACCCATGATGATTGTGTGACTGTAAGAAGGAGTTAGGCTTTCAAGGATGGATTCTAAAGATGGAAAGTAGTCGATACGACTAGATGGTGAATAATAAACACCTAGGAGTGTTTTAGAGTGGTGTAAATCGATTTCCAGAAACAGATGTTCACCAGCGTTCGACGGTGGTGGTTGCGACGATATACTGACTATTTTAAAAGGGATCTGGTTTCGAAGGTAAATTGCCACACCCCCACCAGCACCAGCAGAGCGATCGTTTCTGATTAGTTGGAAACCTGGAAGAGAATAGGAAGTGGAAGGCAAGGATGGCTTGA